GAGCGAGCGGCCTTGGAAGAGACGGGGCGGTGAGCGAGCGGCCTTGGAAGAGACGGGGCGGTGAGCGAGCGGCCTTGGAAGAGACGGGGCGGTGAGCGAGCGGCCTTGGAAGAGACGGGGCGGTGAGCGAGCGGCCTTGGAAGAGACGGGGCGGTGAGCGAGCGGCCTTGGAAGAGACGGGGCGATGAGTGAGAGGACTTGGAAGAGACGGGGTGGTGAGCGAGCGAGCGAGCAGCCTTAGAAGAGATGGGACGATGAGCAAGCGAGCGGCCTTGGAAGAGACGGGGTGGTGAGCGAGCGGCCTTGGAAGAGACGGGGTGGTGAGTGAGCGGCCTTGGAAGAGACGGGGTGGTGAGCGAGCGAGTGAGCACCCTTGGAAGAGATGGGACGATGAGCAAGCGAGCAAGCGAGCAGCCTTGGAAGAGACGGGGTGGTGAGACAGTTGAAAAGCCCTGGACTTAAAGACCTCCCTTCCAATTCTGTTATTCCATTTTGTGTGGTACACTAAAATAGAGTTAGCTCACCCAATTGTGTTTCCTGTCTCCTCTACCTGGGAAGGCTGGCAACCAGCTTCCAAATACAATTCAAGGGGTTGGTTGCGACCTACAAAGCCCTACATGAAGCGAGCTCAGGATACTTGCAGGATCCCTTTCTGGGTTTGTGGACCGGGACGGCAGTGGGGGTGGGGAAGAGAGGATGGTTCTGTTTGAGCACCCACCACTTGCGTGGCCCAGTTCTGAATGGGCTGACCTGGGGGGTGGGGGAACCTCTAATCTACTGCATATCTAGTCATTTCTGTTTGCCCCCCCCAAATTGGCAAAGATTCACAGGACCACCTTCCCCTGCTAGATATGTTGAGACTGCAATTCCCAGAATTCCCAGTACTCCCGATTCTAGGCCAGGAATTCTAGGCCGTGGTGTCTCCACAGTCCTGGAGAGCAGCTGAGACCAGATTGAGACAGGTGACCGTACGGCTTCCAAAGAACCAGAGGCAGGAGATTCTTACCCAGGATTCTGGCATCTTGCTTCACCTCTCGAGGGACTCGCTTCAGCCCAGCACCCACGGGAGATGGCTTCACCTCGGCCCAGTTCACCCCTCGGATTCCCCGAGTCTGAAAGAAGAGCAGAAAGCGGGGACCTTAAAAAGCCATCCCATCCCTCATCAGATTAGATAACCTTTATTGTCGTTTTTTTCCCTGTGGGCACAATGGCACACATTAAAAATGAAATGTAGTTGCTTCCTCTCAAAGTGTACACATACGTAACACATTTAAAACGTACTATATACAACATATGTATAGACCAGGGGTAGGCAACCTTGGCTCTTTTTATGACTCGTGGACTTCAACTCCCAGAATTCCTGAGCCAGCATGGCTCAGCTTGGAAACCTCTCCCTTTCCCCTCAGCATGGCTGGCTCAGGAATTCTGGGAGTTGAAGTCCACGAGTCATAAAAGATCCAAGGTGGCCTACCCCTGGTATAGACCTACACCCTTACATGTAAGTAACATATAAATATTAATCACTGCCCATTTCAATACATAACGGAAAGAGGAAGCTTTAGAGCAGGGCTTTTCAACCAGTAGTACAGGTACCACCTGTGGTACATTGGCACCTGGCAGGTGGTACGCGACCATCCTAGAAAAGTGGTAGCGGGGGAGGGGAATGAGCTGAACCGGTGGCAGCACAGCACAAGTCTGAGCGAGAGATGGCTGGATGTGCAGGGATGTCAGGGCTCAGGGGAAGCGCCAGGATCAGCGCCAGGCTCTAGCTGGAGCTCGGCGCTGATTCTGGCGCTTCTGCTGAGCCCTGAAGAAGCACCAATCAGCTGGAAAGCAGCACTGATCCTGGCACTTCTGCTGAGTCCAGAAGAAGCGTCGATCAGCTGTAATGTTGCAGCCACTCCAGGGTCTTGTGATTTACATTCAGATGCTTGGCAACTGATTCATATTTATGATGGTCATAATGTCCCAGGGTCATGTGAAGTGACCAAAACCTGCTGCAACCACCCAGCAGACGGGGGGCATAAAAACCAAACACCCCCCACCCCACCCCACTGCTAATCCTCAACAGAAATGCTCACAACAATGAAAACCTCGGACAGGAGGAAGAGCGTTGCCGGGTGGGCAGGCAGGTGTCTTGCTCAGCTGTGGCTTGGGGGGCACTTTTTTCGGTGCCATTGTAACTTCGAACAGTCACTAAGCGAATTGTTGTAAGTCGACGACTACCTGTATTTTATCACTTTTTTCCTTTTTGGGGGGGGTCATCAAGTTTTTGACACCTTGCTAGGTGACTGGTGGTACTCAGATGTTGCCATATCCTAAAAGTGGTACAATGGGTGAAAAGGTTGAAAAGCCCTGGTTTAGAGTTCACAAGGTTTATGGAACAAAGCTATGACAGAATCTGTATGTTCCGCTTCGGATACCACAGAGCCTCCTCCCAAAAGGTAACAAGGAAAACAGGCTATGAAGAGGATGTGTCGTGTCCCAGATAATCTTGCGGACCCTGCTCAAGCAACGCTTCTGTGCTATGTCCTGGATGGGAGGGAGGGAACTGCCAATGATCTTTTTGGCCATTCTCACCACTCTCTGCACCGCCTTCCTGTCTGAAGCAGGGATGCTTCCAAACCAGACTGTGATGCTGTATGACAGGATGCTCTCGATCGTCCCTCTGTGGAAAGTGGTCAGGACAGGGGAAGGAAGATGTGCTTTTCTCATGCGACGCAGAAAATGTGTCCGGGTGTTTTGCCAAGCTCCTGTTTATCATCAACTCTAAATCAGACAACATACAAGTAGTCCTTGACTTACAACCACAATTCAGCCAAAAATGGTCATAAAATGGGGTCTGTCGTGTGATGACTCTCTTAACTACCGACGTGACTTAACGGACATAATTCCGGACTCAATTATGGCCATTAAGTCACCTAAGTTACTTCTATCGCCTTCGCCTCCTTCCAGAAATTCTTACACTAGTTGCGATGAGGTTGGGATGAATATACAGGTCGTCCTCAACTTACGACGGCTTCCTTTAGTGACTGTTCAAAATTACCATGGCATTGAAAAAAATGACGTGACCGTTTTTCACACGTAGGACCGTTGCAGCATCCCCCACGGTCATGTGATCCAAACCCAGACAGCTTGGCAACTCACTCGTATTTATGACGGTTGCAGTGTCCCGGGGGGGTCATGTGATCGCCTTTGGTGAGCTCCTGACAAGCAAAGTCAAAGGGGAAGACGGATTCACTTAGCAACCGTGTTACTAACTTAATATATGCAGTGATTCTCTCTGTGGCGAGCAGGGTCGTAAAATGAGGCAAAGCAAATGTCCCGCTTATCAACAGAAATTTTGGGCTCAATTGTGGTCGTAAGTCGAGGACTATCTGTAATAAGATCTCTTTCAGCAAAATACAAAACAACACTTAAATTCAACACTTAAATTGAGACTCTAGAAAGAGTACAGAGAAGAGCAACAAAGATGATTAGGGGACTGGAGGCTAAAACACATAAGAAACGGTTGGGCCTGTCTATTTTAATGAAGAGAAGGACGAGGGGGGACATGATAGCAGTGTTCCAATATCTCAGGGGCTGCCCCAAAGAAGAGGGAGTCAAGCTATTCTCCAAAGCGCCTGAAGGCAGGACAAGAAGCAACGGGTGGAAACTAACCAAAGAGAGAAGCAACCTAGAACTAAGGAGAAACTTCCTGACAGTTAGAACAATTAACCAGTGGAACAATCTGCCTCCAGAAGCGGTGAATGCTCCAACACTGGAAGTTTTTAAGAAGAGACTAGACAGCCATTTGTCTGAAATGGTATAGGGTTTTCTTCCTGAGCAGGGGATTGGACTAGATGACCTCCAAGGTCCCTTCCAACTTTATTATTATTATTATTATTATTATTATTATTATTATTATTATTATTATTATTATTATTATTATTATTATTATTATTATTATTATTATTATCACCAGGCAACCATTTTGTGTCAAGAACAAGGCCGCTCAGCGCTGTCGGACATACCTGCTTCCCCTTTCTTTCGGCCTCTTGCTGCCTGAGCAGGAAGGCCTCCGCCAAGGGCACGGCCTGGGCACACGACTCCGGGCCGTGTTCCCTCACCAAGCTCTGGATCTCCTGGGGCAGGAGAGTCAAGAACTGCTCCAGGACCAGGAGATCTAACATCTGCTCCTTGGTGTGCTTCTCTGGCTTCAGCCACCCCCGGCACAGCTCCCGAAGCTGGCTGTACACTTCCCGGGGGCCCCGGGCCTCATGGTAACGGAATTGCCGGAAACGCTGGCGCTGCGCCTCCATCCGCAAGGCGTCCCCTTTCAAGATGGCCGCCTTGACTTTGGCGTATTCGCTTCGGTCCTGGAGGCTGAGGCTACTGTAGGCCTCTTTAGCTTCCCTGCCCAGCACGGGCACCAGGCGAGCCAGCCATTCTCGGCGGGGCAGCTGGCAGGTTCCAGCCAGACGTTCAAAAGAGGCGAAGAAGGCTTTGTTGTCCCCCCACGGGGAGGGTCCCTCGGCCAGCGGCTGGTGTCCCTCCCCTAGAGGAGAGGACTGGAGCGCAGTGAGGAACTCCTGCCATTGGGCTTCCCAGATTTCGGGCAAGCCCTCCCTGGGCTCCTGCTTCACTTGCCGTGGGGCAGCCCAATTCAGGAACTCTCGGATGGTCCCTACTTGGAGGACCCGAGGCAGTTTCCCTGCACGGTCCGCTCCCTCTGGCCCTCTGGGGCTGATGGTTTGACGATCTTCCACTTTGACGATCCCCCTGCGTCTTGGGATGCCATCAGCTCTTCTGGCCCTCTGCTCAGCCGCCATGGCCTCTCGAAAAGCAGACCTCCCTGGCCACAAAATTTGCAATTTCAGTCAACCTTGGGCTCCCGGGAATGTCCAGAATTTGTCTTAGCTTCCTTTTCTCTCTAATACAGCCGGCAGATAAGGCAGTTTCCTCCAGGATGGGAAGGGTTTTAAGGAAGCAGTAGGCCGCACGACATAATTCAGCAGCAAAGGGGCACTCTCTGAGGAGAAAAATAAAGCATGTTGAAAAACTGTCAGCCCCGCCAAGAAGACCCAAGAATCATTTCCACAGGAGGGCTAAAACTACTTTTATTGGGAGTGGCTATTATACCACAATCTTGCAAGTCTGATTGTACTGTACCCCCTTCCCCCTCTTACACCCCTCAGAGGGGTCTTTTCCGCATATTTTCTCGTTCTCTTCTCCTCACTTTGGTAACGGATCTAGCTTATCTCTGTCAAAATCGAGGTCGAGATCTGTTAAGTAACTTCCCTCATTCTCTACAGCAGGGCTTTTCAACCAGTGGTACGGGTACCACCTGTGGTACGTTGGCACCTGGCAGGTGGTACGCGACCATCCTAGAAAAGTGGTAGCGGGGGAGGGGAATGCGCTGAACCGGTGGCAGCACCGCACAAGCCTGAGCAAGAGATGGCTGGAGCTGCAAGGCTGTCAGGGCTCAGCGGAAGCGCCAGGATCAGCACCAGGCTCCAGCTGGAGCTCAGCGCTGATCCTGGCGCTTCTGCTGAGCCCAGAAGAAGCGCCGATCAGCTGGAATGTTGCAGCATCTCCAGGGTCTTGTGATTTACATTCAAATGCTTGGCAACTGATTCATATTTATGATGGTCACAGTGTCCCAGGGTCATGTGAAGTGACCAAAACCTGCTGCAACCACCCAGCAGACGGGGGGAATAAAAACCAAACACCCCCCACCCCATCCCTGCTGCCAATCCTCAACAGAAATGCTCACAACAATGAAAACCTCGGACAGGAGGAAGAGTGCCACCGTGTGGGCAGGCAGGTGTCTTGCTCAGCTGTGGCTTGGGGGGCACTTTTTTCAGTGCCATTGTAACTTCGAACAGTCACTAAGCGAACTGTTGTAAGTCGAGGACTACCTGTACTTTATCACTTTTTTCCTTTTTTTTTTTTGGTCATCAAGTTTTTGACACCTTGCTAGGCGACTGGTGGTACTCAGATGTTGCCATATCCTAAAAGTGGTACAATGGGTGAAAAGGTTGAAAAGCCCTGCTCTACAGAACTGTTACACAGATGATCTCACATAGCTTTTCAGCCCAGGCACAACCAGTCAGTTGATTACGGCTAGTTCTCAACTTACAACGGTTCATTTAGTGACCGTTCGAAGTTACAAGGCACTGAAAAAAAGCGATTTATGATTGTTTTTCACACTTATGACTGTTGCAGCATCCCCATGGTCACATGATCAAAATTTGGATACTTGGCAACTGACTCACATTTATGACGGCTGCAGTGTACCGGTGTCATGTGATGACCTTTTGCGACCTTTCTGATAAGCAAAGTCAATGGGGAAGACAAATTCACTTAACAACCATGTTACTAACTTAAGAATTATGGTCTCAAAGCTTCTTTAGTTCTTGGATGAGAAGCTAAACATCTCCAAGGGAAAACAAAGTCCAGTTGCCTTTTGAAAAAGCACCTTTGGGACAACCATGACCTGGATGACTGAGAATCTCCACAGACATTTAACAATTGTGGCAAGAAAGGTCATAAAGTGGAACATAACTCACTTAACTGTCTCACTTAGCGACAGAAATTTTGGACTACAAAAAGGACTACCTGTACAGAAACTGCAAGATAAGACTCCCAAAATATGGCACTGAACACTAACGCCCAACAAAAACAAGCCCAAGAAGATACAGGAAAAAAAACCCACCCTAGAACAGGACATAAATTTTAATTATCATAAGAAATTAAAGCACTTCGGGGAGATTATAACACATAGCTTATAATGAACTGGTTGCACACTTTACAACTATGCAAGGGAAGTTCGTATTAGACAATAGATTTGCAGCAGGGTGAGGAAACAGGAGGGAAATGGAATATGAGATTGATAGTTAAGATTAAATAAAAGCGTATATAGCTGAATAGATATGTATCTACATTAGTAATAACCCTGCAACTCTAATAGCTTCATAATAAACACAACTTTAAGGAATGCACTTTCATCTCAAGACTACCACAATTCTGGCCCGCTATCTACTAAAGGGCTGTGGCTCTCACAATACCTTTGATATGCAAATATTAAGCAGGCAATAAACATAAATAAATAGAGCTAAAGGGCTTTTCACCTGTTAATCCAGTCAGATCAAAGCCACTCTAACAGATTTAGCCGCAGGAGCCAATTCAAAGAGCTGGCAACCTGCACGACCAGCAACTGCCTTTTCCAACCTGAAAAGAGACACTGGACTCTAAATCCCATCATCCTCACCATTACAATTTCCTATCTGCATAGATATTTCCCCCACGCTTCTTCGTCCTACACATTCAGGCGGAGCGGGGATGCACAAGCCGCCCTCCCTAAGTGTCTGGGCTTTTGCACGGCTTTTGCCCGGCACAGGGTTACATCGCCCTCGCTCCCCGGCCAGCGAGAAGATGGGAGTTGTAGTGTATCCTTGCCGCAGAACCCCGAAACGGAGAAGCCAGCAGGCCCGCATCTCAAAAATTGCACGGCGCAGATTTACACTTCCCTCGCTTCCCGGCCCAAGAAGTGAGAAGATGGGAGTTGTAGTTAGCACCTCCTAAGCAGCAGAGCCTGGAGCGCGGAGAAGCCAGCAGGCCCGGATTTCAAAAAATTGCACGGTTGTGTTTTTTTTTGCACGGCGCAAAATTACACTTGCTCCCGCGCCCCAGGCAAGCGAGAGGATGGGAGTTGTAGTGCATCCAAGCTGCAGAACCCCGGGGGGCGGGAAAGCCACCAGGCCCGGACTTCAAAGGACTTTGCAGCTACGGGATTCTTACCCGGGATTCCCCCCTCCCTCTCTAGATAGGACGGGGAAAGCCCCGCCGGCTCTCCCTGCTTTCGCCTCCTTTGCAGCCGCCCAGGTCGGCCGCCTCCCGCTTTTGCAAAAGCAGCTCACCTCCTGGCGCGCGCGCTCTTTGCCCTGGCCACGCGCTGCTATCTGGTCCAAGCTCCTCCGGAGGGGCCCCACCGCCAGTTTTCCCCCCTCCCCTCCCACCACTACACAGGGCAGATAAAACAGCACAGGAAGGTGCATCGAGTATTTAAATCCCCCCAAGCCCCCTCTCCCTCTCCACGGCCAGGGCCTCTCTAGCAAGCAGCCTCTCTCGCTCCCTTTAACCCACTGAGTACCTCGCTCCGCAAAACAAAACAAAACAAAACAAAACAAAGGCCAAGATGATAGGCTGAAGATCCCGATGGATCTTGACACACTTGAACACGGGGCCCTCTCTAACAAAATGAAATTCAGTGTAGAGAAAAATAAAGTTTTACACTTAGGCAAGAAAAACCAAAAAGTACACATACAGATTGGGTGAAACCAGGCTTAACAGCAGTAACTGTGAGAGGGATTTTGAAGTCTTAGTAGACAATCAATTAAATATGAGCCAACAGTGTGCAGCGGCAGCAGCCAAGAAAGCCAATGCAATCCTAAATTGCATTGACAGAGGGATTCAATCAAGATCACGTGAGGTACTAATACCACTATAAAACCTTAGTAAAGCCACACCTAGAATACTGCATCCAGTTTTGGTCTCCACACTATAAAAAAAGATGTTGAGACTCTAGAAAGAGTGCAGAGAAGAGCAACAAAGATGATTAGGGGACTGGAGGCTAAAACCTATGAAGAACGGTTAGAGCAGTGGTTCTCAACCTTTTTAATGCCGCGACCCCAACTGGTCATAAGTCGAGGACTAAACCGGTCGTAAGTCGAGGACTAAACCGGTCGTAAGTCGAGGACTAAACCGGTCGTAAGTCGAGGACTACCCAACCGGTCGTAAGTCGAGGACTTTCCCTGCCCAGGAGCGCCGTGCATGCGTGGTTCCGCCCCCTGCGCCGGCTGAGGCGTAGCTGGCAAGCGGCAGAGATGGAGCAGGCCGACCACCAGCTGGCCCAGCCCAAGGGAGGTAAGGCACCCGCCGGAAAAGGGGAAAAAAATGGCGGACAAAAAAAATGGCGGACAAAAAAATGGCGGACAGCCTTGCTTGGCGACCCCCGTGAAATGGTCGATCGACCCCAAATGGGGTCCCGACCCACAGGTTGAGAACCACTGGGTTAGAGGAACTGGGCCTGGCTAGTCTAATGAAAAGAAGGACCAGGGGCGACATGATAGCAGTCTTCCAATATTTGAGGAACTGTCACAGAGAGGAGGGGGTCAATGCTACTGAAAAAAAGTGACTTATGACCGTTTTTCACACTTATGACCACTGCAGCATCCCCATGGTTATGTGATTTACACTGAGATGCTTGACAACTGGTTTGTATTTATGAAGGTTGCAGCGCCCCAGAATTAAAAGTGATCTCCTTTTGTGACCTTCTGACAAACAAAGTCAATGGGGAAGCCAGATTCACTTAATAACTGTGCTACTAATTTAACAACTGCAGTGGCTCACTTAACAGATGCCGTAAGAAAAGTTGTAAAATGGGGCAAACTTCACACGTAGCAAATTTTTCATTTAGCAACATAAATTCTGGGCTTGACTGTGGTCATAAGTTGAGGACCATCTGTATTGAGAAATACTGGATTATATTTTAGGCAGGTGCCCCAAATCAGCAGCTACTAACAAACATAGCTGAAACCTTAGTAGAGCATACCCCAAGTAGCTTTTCATTGCTAAAAGCCATTGGAAACATCACTATCAGCAAAAGTCTTGAGAGAAAAGGATAATCTGCGCTGAATGCTTTTCATCTGTTTCCCTCTAGCTCAGGGGTAGGCAACCTTGGCTCTTTTATGACTTGTGGACTTCAATACCCAGAATTCCTGAACCAGCCTTGCTGACTCAGGAATTCTGGGAGTTGAAGTCCACAAGT